TAAAAATGGCAGATGGAACCGATATGCAGCTCTAGCTGCAGCGACTGTCTCCAAATGCATCATAGAGAAATTAAAAATGTGACATTTGAAATAGCCAAAATAAATTTAATTGAAGATCAAACATAATTGAATAATATTTGGAAGACATTTTAAATACGTTTCTGTAATTTCATTTCTAACATAAAGGTGATACAATTGTTGTTTTGGAAGAAGTGAACATTGGAAGAAATTGAAATTTTGATATCATGTTTGTGTATGAAAAAAAAAACTTCAGTTATTATACTATTATTATATTCAGTTATCTGTCACCATAACGCCATAAATTACAGCGTGCCGTAATTTTGCTGTTTTTACAAGGTATTTTCATCCTACCATATAAGGAAATGCAAATTCCAAATATGGAATGATTACGCGTGTAAGTGCCCTCTAATAATAAAAACAAAAATGGCTGCCACCAGGGTTTGACCAGACTCCATACAAAGTTTGCTGATTCTGTTCTAAACTTGTTGGATTTCGGCATTCCCATGATGTATTCTTGGAAAGAAAAGATGTATAGTAATAATCAGTAATTACAAGTATACCTCAAAATATGCACTCTTGCTGCATGTCGGTCGATACTGCTGCTGTACTGTCAAAGTGCATACTTTGAGGTATACTCACAATAACCTCATATTATATACATGTATAGCACATGCAAGAACAGTGTATTAACGCCTCAATTTGGAGAGTAAGCAAAACATGAAACTTTTTTATAGTTGTTAAAAAATCCTCATTACCATCAATCTGGCTTAATTAATATTAATTAATAGTTGTACTTGAAATTCAGTATTGTGTATAGTTTTGTAGTTGTACTTCAAATATTACATTGTTAAGCTGCATTCGTCTAAGCTTTTATGCATTGTAAAACTGAATCTCCAATAAAATAAGAAACTATGAAGTATGTATTTTTGAGAAAACAAATGTTTTTTTTTTATAAATGATATCAAGTTGAATGTTATGATTTTTTTGAATATTTGCATAGAATTTTTGTTTTATTTGGATGATTATAATCGGATATGTAAATATATTTCATTGAACATAGGGCCAATCAAATACAATTCATGACATAGTGTTTAAATATTTTTGAGTATCAAATAATTCTATGGATAATCTCGCCAAAAAAAATGAACAAATGTTACGTCACTTTATACATACGGATATGTTCTCGCTTCCTTACTTGGAAAATAAATGCAGATTTTTTGTGACAAAAACTGCAGCTTGCTAGTTTTTTTTTTTTTTTGGTGACATGTTCATATTCCCTTTTTATGTGACGCCGTCATTACGGGAAAAAAACTGTTGTGATGTTTTCATAATGATGTATGTACAGCATCAACAATTTCCCATGTCGCCGACTCGTTTATTTGAATCATAAACGCTCTAATAGTCCCCTTTCAAACTAAGCTCGAAACTGACTTATGAATTCGTACATTTCAGATTACAAGTCCATGACAATTTGTTTTACAATCAGTTAAAAGATGGCCGACTGGTGGCCATCTTGTTTTTGTTTTTTTTGGTTTGAACAATTTGTAACAAACATTAAACGAAATAAACATTGTACATGTCCATTTGTTTCATGTTCGAATCCCAAATGACCAATTTGCAATCTAGTTTTTAGTCCCCGTTCGGACGCAGTCCGAAAACGGGGACTTATGTTTTGCCCTGTGTGCGTCCGTCCGTCCGTCCGTCCGTGCGTCCGTGATCACCTGTATCTCGAACATGCATGGACCGATTAAGTTCAAACTTCACTCATACATCACACATTATATGGGACATGTGCACATGCATTTTTTTCATGATCCGATTAACGATAGCCGAATAGCGGCCATTTTAAGGCCGAAAATGCATCAAAATCGCACATTTTCACCATTCCGGACCCAGATCTCAGTTATGCATGGACGGATTTTGTTCAAATTTGGTACATACATTAAACATAATAGGACCTTGATGCACGTCATTTTTTGGGGGGGGGGGATCGGGTTCGAAATGGCCGACTGGCGGCCATTTTGTTTTAAAGAATTCAGTTCTGGATTCGTATCTGAGACATGCTTGGATTGATCGAGTTCAAACTTCACACACACAAGGTACATCATGTCACAAATATGTATGTGCATTTGTTTCATGATCTCATTAACGATAGCCAAATGGCGGCCGCTTTAAGGCCGAAAATGCATTGAAATCGCACATTTTCACCATTCCGGACCCATATCTCAGTTATGCATGGATGGATTTTGTTCAAATTTGGTACATACATTAAACATAATAGGACCTTGATGCACTTTCTGTTTGACCGGTGTAAAGATAAAGTAAAAAAAAAATGAAGATTTCAAGTTGATTTTAAGATTCCGTCTCAAGAATAATTTTCGATTTTATTTATTAAATTAATATGAAAAAAATGCATATTTTGCGAAACAGTAATGCCTAGCGCAATCATAGTGTTGTATAGAATGAGACTCCACTCCTGTAGTTAGAGATTTTTCCCACGAAATATTATCCCCGGTTTTCGTCCCTGAGATTTTGTTAGCTGGAATTTTGTCCCCAAGATTTCATACACAGGGATTTTGTGCCTGGTATTTTTTGTCATCGGGATCATTGAGGTAATAGTAGATATATTTTGTGGTTCCATGTCTGGATGTTGTAAACGGCAATTTTGAATCCTGGATATATTTGCGGAAACTTTTTACTGGTCACTTTTGTCGCTTAGATGTTATACACGAGCATTTTTTTCCTCGGGATGTTATCGCGGGGATTGTTTTGAATTTGAGTGCTCTTTCAGCAGAGATTTTGATAGAATCTGGCATTGTTACGTTAATGTTCATTCATTTGCATTGTGTCGCATGTATTTGTTTTATTGTGCCCACTAAATATAAGGTGCTGGAAACTACAAACATCGTCCGGCCAAGAATTTATGAGATCCAAAATTTCCGTCTATGTATTTTGTTGAATTTTCATTTTGGGCTCACTTTACAATGATACCATCAATATCGGAGCCAAATAATTTTATTATATATTCCTCGCTTATGACATGAATGGATTTGCATTGTTTTGCCATGATTTCAATTTCTGGACATTGATCTCATTTTGTTGGTAGTTTTAAGGTTGAGACAGCTCGGACATTAAATTGTAAGAAGTTTCGGCGAGAAAACAAACGTGATCAAAAAGTATGGGATGGTAAATGGAGGACGAAACCTGGGAATGGATAAATGGCATGGACTTCATGTTATTTCGTACGCCTACGGTACACAGTCCTTCTTAGAGGGGTTGTGCTCTATCTATATCTGAACTTCAGTCCCGACGGTCAGACAAATGAAATAAAATATCGTGTCAGTGTGTGATCGAGTGTACTTGTTCATGATAAATAGTAAACGCTCACCCCTTAGGTTGTTCTTAATGAGGATCTGATGTCAAGTTTGTGATACTAGAACGGAAATGCATCCAAGCCACCCAGCCTTCAAAAGAAAAAAATTCTATCACAGTTTTTGTGGATAATAAAATAACGATATATTTAACCTTCAACAAAATGAACCACACTTTGGTAGACAAGTTGTACAGCCTACATTCGCATTTCGCGTAAATAAACAATTGAATGTATTTAAACGAGTTGCTTTATTGCACGGGACTCTTATCAAACACGTCCTGTCTTAACGACCACGGTATCTCCCTTTCTATGTACTAACAAAAGGCATAGTCCGTCTACTTCGTACTCATAACAGGCTAAAATTGTGCGACTGAATAAATATAAAACGAATTTGACTATTGGAGACGAAAAAGATGAAGACAATCGAATTTGCCTGAATTCAGTAGTAGTAATTGACAGCTGATCCCAGTGTTTTTATAATGGTTGTCATTGAAACCGAATTGTCAATACCTCTAAAATGGTGAAATACGTCTATCATAACTTTGTTATTGACCCAATCAAAATTCACGTCATAAAACAGTTGCTCACCACTAGCATAGTTATTGCTGTGTTGGACCACATCAAAATAAGTTTCATCGTTCAACTCATACCCGAGTATAAAAGCGAACAAATAGATCCAACTATAAAATTCTGAAATGTATCAAAGGCATATTCTTGACTTCAATGCAATTGGATGCAATTTAATCAGTAATTAATGATAACCTCGTTAACATCTTAGTAAACCCGAAACTGTAATGTGTCATATTCGTTTTTTGACATGTTGATTTTATGTCACAGCGCTAACGTCGTGTTGCAATATGTTTTACTATGTTTTACGGGACGAGGTAAGCACTTACAGTTCCATTTATAGAAGAATGGAATTTATTTTTAGAAGTAATCCAACATATGTCAATAGCCATTACCAAGAAGTGAAAACGAAAACGAATCAGAATGTATTTGCAAACCTTTGATTTTGTTTAGTCGAGAGATACCGAAAGATATACACATAAACTGTTGATACATGAACTAAGTCCAAATATGGCATCTGGCATCAGAAGAATCTAAAACAATCTATGACATAGTTTGCAAGCAAATTCGTGTTCAAAA